ACTGGTTTCGATGTGTCCTTGTCATTCCTTTCCACGTCTCGAAGGTGTTCTCGGAATCGGTCACCTAGTCTTCTGTCTGTTTCGCCGATGTATATCTTTTCATTCACCGCATTCCATTCACTCTCACGTTTCACCCTCACAACCACTCAGTTAAATCCATCATTCTTAAAAACTTTAAATTACTTCAAAACGATCCAGAGACAAGCACTATCTTTTCGCAGCCTCCGCTCATTTCATTCAAACGCGACAAAAACATAGGCAATTTTTTGGTCAGAAGTTCTTTTCAGACTAATGACCAACCAGGCACTTTTAAATGCGCTCGTGCACGATGCAAAACGTGTCCTTTCATTCACAACACTGATAAAATATCGGGACCTAAACGATCCATTAAGATCACCGATCACTTCACGTGCACCTCCGCCAATGTAATCTATTGCATAACTTGCACTTATTGCAAAAAGATATACATCGGCGAAACAGGCAGAAGACTAGGTGACCGATTCCGAGAACACCTTCGAGACGTGGAAAGGAATGACAAGGACACATCGAAACCAGTTGCTAGGCATTTTAATTTACCTAATCATTCTAAGCAACATATGGCAATCTGCGGTCTTTCCTTACACTTAGGTAGCACGGAAAGCCGTAAAAATCTTGAACAAAAGCTCATCTTTCAAACCGGCAGTCTAAATCCCACAGGGATCAACGAACGCTTTTCATTCCACTAATTTATTCTTGTTTTTCTCGTTGCCATGTTCCCACCAATAACGTAGCTCCATTTTCTGCCTTTAAAAGCACACACAACCCACAATTCCTCTATTCGCTCCGACGAAGGGCTAACGCTCGAAACGTCAGCTTTTGTAATCGTTACGGTGGCCAATTTACCATTTCAACTTTGTTGATATATCCAAATTATTTCGTTACCCCCACCGACGCAACCCCAACAGTTTCTTTCGAAACTATCAGCCTTTAAACAGTGCTTTAGGAGATTGTTTTACTTGACAAATCCTGTTTCACTTACTAAGGGGATCGTTTCATAGTCAAATGAAGCTATTATTTGAATTTTACATTCTAACAGGGAAAGCTTTGTCGCAACTCTTATGAATTTTTTTTTAAACCCCGCTTAAACTGTCCGTTGCAGGAATCTTGAGGTAGTTGGTCACTGTCTGCCCTTGGTTTTAAACTTACCGTCCAGCTTACATGTTGCTGTTAGACACACTAGTATTAAACTTGTTGGTGAGCTAGCAGAATGGATAAAAACACATCCAGAGTATCTTGGTAAGTAGAAGGCGCACTCTCTCCTGCTTTGGACTTCTATTGAATTAAACTCATGGTGTAGTCCACTTAAGTGCCTCTGTGTTTGGAACAGTTTCCTACGAGGGATACGAGGGAAAGCCTTCTTTGTGAGGGGCTACCGAGCAATTTAGGAATCCTGAATATGAACCACCTTTAACAATGTAAAGTTTGCCCTAAAACTATCTTCCGCCCATGAAAATCTAACCAATCCACTTTTGTTTAGAAGATATATAAATTCATGTTTCGCAATGTCTGTTACTGAAGAGAGTTACACAGTTATACAGTTACAGCGGGGTAGTAAATCACTTTTTATGACTTGGTGTCATGCTGTTGTCTTCTCGGTACTTAATAAAAAGTTATCCTTTTTTTTTCTTTTTTTTTTTTTCTTCTCAGATCCCATACTTCAGTTCTTGTTGTCAACTGTTCAAGATCCCAAACTATCTTCAGTGTCAGCTTCGGCTATTGAAAGCCTTTGTATAGCTTGTCACTCACAAATGACAAAATATTTTGACGTTTTAGCTCAGGTAACGATATGTTATGATGTGTTTTGACTGAGATTATTCAAACAGAATCCCCTAAATTTAACTTAATTACACTGCGTTTCCGAGTTTCGTTTTATCTTGTTATGTTATAAATTTCTAAGTTCATATGCCTGCACCACCACCATATCGCTATATAAATCAAAAGATTTCTTCTGAAGTGAAAGATAGTCTGGGTCTGATCTCCGTTTCTCCGATCTGGCTGGGCAAACAGTTCACTTTAAAAATGGATCAGGTCTGTCAGTTCTTAGAACATCCAAAGCAGCTTTTGCCCAACCTATGCTACTAATCGAGTGGGGCCAGTCAATCCCGCTCGAGTTCCTGCGTGGACTACTCGGGAAATCAGTGTACAGAAGTTGATTTTGTAATGTTGCGATGACTGTGTCAACCTATTTCCAGAAGAAAGCAATTCACGCGCTTCTAGAGGCGCGAGGAAGGGAATCTCGACCTAGTTTAAAAGAGTTGACTTGAGTGTTTTAACTTTTGTCTTTATCATCACAGGTGGTAGTAGCAGCAGATTCGCTTTCCATCTCAAGTGATTCTTATATTGGACTCTTGAAAGGTAAGCTTCTTGATGCTGTAATGCGGTTTGCAAGGGCCAGAAAACTGTTAAAGTTCTGGAATTTAGAACCTTATTTTCCATGGAAGGCGGGTAAGTGGTATGTGTAAGTGTGAGTCATAAAAAGGCCTAGAAGTGATAAAGACTGAGTTTGTGAAAGGAGGAAAATTGGGTCTCTTTAGGAAAGAGTCTTGTATGTAACTGATGTGAAACCACTTCCTTTTTGATAATATATCTCAGCTTTTATTGCTCTGTATTTGTATTTGTTGCAGGAGTGTGTAAAGTTTTAGAAGGGATAGAGTCAGAACAACTTTCCGAAGGCTTAAATTCTATTTGCGGAATACATGTAACATCACTTAAACAGGTAAGTGTTTTTAAAATCTGTCGCGTCTCCAAGTCAACGTAAAGCCACAAAACATAGATCTGGCTGCTTGCTGCATCGTGCAGAGCTTTGTGGCTTGAACCGGTAGTTCATGCTTGAGGAAATGTACCATACACGCGGACCGAATGCGTTACTGGAATTGTGTCCATTTGACACGTTGCGATGAATTTTAATTGTTGTTGTTGTTGTTGTTGTTGTTGTTGTTGTTGCTATCCTTTTAGGGGAGTTTTTGATTGAGTGTAAAATGTATTGCTTCCCATTGATACTGCTTTACTACAAGTGGTTTTTTTGTAATGTCAAGAAAAATCTTTCCCCTCCTAGCCGATCAGTTGTTGAAGCGAAATCAATCGCGACTTATTTGCTCGCGTTTCCCATCGCTCGAAGCTGTTTCATTCCCCTTTCACTGAGTTCTGATTTGCCTCTCTGGATGTTTCCTCTGTTATGATGACCTTTGTTATGATGTACTTTCTTCCAAGATTCTATCTGCACCTGCGAACTCGTATCCAGATCCCACTCTGTGGTTGGACAGACTGGCTGCTACGTTCAGGTGAGTTTTAAAGAAAACGAACAAACGAACCAGCAAACAAATAAAAACAAACAAACAAACAAGCGAACTAAAACAAAAACAAAATAACGGCATTTTCTCTCTGATTAGATGAATGTTTGTGAAAAAAGAATATGTTATGCTTCGCCTATGTGTTGTGGAAGTGTGTTAAAGTTCTGTAAAGGTCCGGTAATACGGGCAACATTTTTCTTCAACTTTTCTTGCAACATTGTTGCATTGCAAGTTGAAACCCTTTGTTGCGCGTATTACCACGTTCGTGACCAACTTGTCTCGCAACAAAATGTAGTGTTGCAAGTTGAGGCAAGTGTTGCGCAAAGTAGACTCGAGTTCTACTTTCTGCAACAAATTTTCAACAAAGGGTTTCAACTTGCAATGCAACAATGTTGCAAGACAAGTTGAAGAAAAATGTTGCCCGTATTACCGGACCTTTAATGGCTCCAGAAAATTTTAGAATTGAAAAGCTGCCTCTCAGACCAGTTTGAATTTCAAGTGGAATTTATTTTACCTTTTCACTCTAACACAGATATGTTAATCCTAAAGTAGAAAATGGTACGAAACACCCGGCTCTTACAGTCGTAGAGGAGGTAAGATCGTTCACTTGTGTTATTGAAGTGAGTGTAGTTAATTGTAACTTAGCGCTTTCAACTTGGTTTCTCGCACTCATTAATTGTTCATGAGGTGATTATCCAACCAAGACACGCCAATGTCGTCACTTGCATGTGATTTGAAACCCCGGTGAAACACTGGAATGACGCGCGATCGATGAGTTTCATACAGTATCAAACCCATGAGTTTGATAAAGCATTAAACTCTTGTGAACTCACTTCTTGATTTGAATAACGACAACAAACTTGCCGACAGCATGTGAATAATTCGTGAACATTTCCATTTCTTTTATTCCTGAGGCACGATTGAGAAGCTACTCGAAAACAATAAAAGCACTGGGCCTGCGGCCTCGTGCTTTCATCAGCTTTCTCATGTTTGGAGACCCTGATGAAACCCTCGCACTCGTTTTTGAAATAGTCCTTGAAATCGAGTGCTGGCCAGATAGACATCAAAAGTTAATTTTTTGGAATGGGTGTGTTCAAGAATTTGTTTGAGACATCTAGACACTAGAGTCCGAAACTGTCATACTTGTCCCTCAAAATTTTGTTCTACTCATCATGGAGACCAAACGGTTGCAGATTGGAGTGCTGATGGCCGTGCAAACTTGACTTGGAAGAGACCAATAGCTTAGTAAGAAACGAAAACACTGTAAGCGAAAATAATAGGCCAAAAAGGAACGAGGAACGCCACCTCAACCTACGTGCAGACATAAAATTGCATTAATAATAATTACAATTACAAGAAGGGGGGCATTGGGGCCTCTGGGAAACCGCAAAACCGGAGAAAAAAACCTCTAAAACCGAAAAACCGACAAAAAAAGGCAGCAAAACCGAAAACCGCGTGCAAACCTGACAAAACCGCTGCATTTTCACCTTTAAAGGGGTCAAAAAGGAAAACCGAAAACCGCATCAGAGTTTTCGCGAAAACCGAAAACCGAATCCAAAAACACGTAAAATCCGCAAATCGCTCTGAACATCAAAACCGAAAAACCGAACCTTTTTTGGCCCAAAAACCGAAAAACCGATTTACAAAACCGCAAAACTGAAAATCCCAAAGCCCTCCCTCAACAATGGTAATAATTTTAAAACGCAAATGAAATGAAAATTTGAAAATGATAATTTATCCGGTGTTGCAGGTGTGGCCAATACTTTCCAACATCTGTGATAAGTACAGGGCGGACCTGAAAATTATTGAGCGATGTTGTAGGTAAGAGAGGAAACTATTTTTTCAGTTTCTGTTGGACCTTTCAGGAATGAGATGAGAAAACTAAGTAATGTGTAATTTATATCACTATTTATATTTAGGCTTTTATTTATTTTTAAACTCTGTAATTTATATTCATGTATTTTTCCTCGGTATATTAGCATCTCTATTGCTAGTGGCCTAACAAGCCTCATGTTCATCCGAGTTTAAATAAATTCATCTACTACTCTATACTACCACTTTTCGTCGTTGTCGTTACTATGATCGTCACTGTTTGACGTTCTTCTTCTTCTCTTGTTTTACCGTCAATTCAGTGATCCTTCTTTGAAAACGGATGTTTGAGTCTGGCACTGTTCTTCTTGCGATAGAAAGTAGTATTAAGTTATCGTGTTCGGTAACATACTAATCGCCCTCTTGGGTCTTCGTCAAGTTGTGCTCCTCTCTTCTGTCTCGTCTTTTGCCAGGTGTTATACTCCTCGTTGTTAACGTTTTCGTCGTCATTCAAGTTTCGATCCTCTTCCTTGACCATCTGGTGTCGTTGTAGTGTTCTTCTGGTCATTGACGGATTCTTTTGTTGTTAATTAGGGGTCTCTCTCTGTTTGTGTGGCCGTTTTTGTTTAAGGAAATAGTTTTGTCGTCAAGGGATGATCCTTATTTTTGAGGTACTGCGAAGATAACTCTGATATTCGTTCATTCATCCGCAGTTCACATACATAACAGTCGTATTTTTACATTCATTCATTCGTCACTGCACGGGTTTATTACGAACCAACAAAATGACCATTTGCCAATCAACTTGTTAGCTTAGTTGGTAGAGCCGGCACTGCACTTGTATCGCGGAGGTCGTGGTTTCAACTCCCGTACAGGCCTTCTTTTCACGACTGCTGCATCAATGCCCATTACTGTGAAGGTCACTCCCAGATTCCAAATTCAAAGTATCGTTTAAGTATCCTCTGGTTAGGATTAAACACCATTTGCGCATAAAATTTGAAAGGTTTGTTTGTATTGGTATCTTTGTCTTATATTGTTTTCTTTTGGTTTCAGATGTATTAGATTCGCTATTCGCTGTCTTGGCAAATCAGCGATCAATTTACTCTCCCCGTTGGTCTCACAGGTGAAGCAAATTATTTACTTTTTTAATTTCTTTTCTGTTTTGTAACTCCTCCAGAGAAACCTGCAATTTTACTGTTCTTTTGTTGTGTCACGTGAAGTGTCCTTTAAATACAGGTTTTGGTTCAGAATAAGGCTTAATTTGGTGTTTGTGCCCGCGGTATAGAGGTGTCCACTGATTGCACGCTAAAAAAAAAGACAAAGGGAAGCAAAATCCAGACGCAATATCAAAAGTTGTCAATGGATGGCGGGGGTTTCAATAATAGCGGGCCACCGGCGGTGTAACGTCACCTATAAGTCCTTTTACCGCCTTCTGTTGAGCCTGCGATCGGGTTCGTGTTTGGGTTTCGCTTTACGCCCTATTTCCGGACACAACTACCTATAACACCATCGGCAGCCACTTAAGAAAAAAAGTTATTGAAACCCCTGGGAGCATCTTTATACTTAACATGTAACTGTATGAAAAAGGTTACTGAAACTCCTGGTAACATCTATACACTTAACATGTTACTGAATGGAAAAAGGTTACTGAAACTCCTGGGAAAATCTTTATACTTAATATGTTACTGAATGGAAAAAGGTTACTGAAACTCCTGGGAACATCTTTATACTTAACATGTTACTGTATGGAAAAAGGTTACTGAAACCCCTGGGAAAGAATGATACCATTAGCTTAGATTCCGTGACAGCTGTTTGTCTGTGTCACTTACCCACGCCTTCGTTTTGTTACTTGAACAGATGGTGAGCGTGTATGGAACCAATCCTCACTCTTGCTTTCTGTACCTGGGAAGCATTTTAGTCGATGAATATGGTGACGAGGCTGGGTGTGTTCCTGGACTAATTGGAATGACTATGGTATGGTTAGAACTGAGAAGGAGAACGAATAGTATATTAGTTTTCATTCACTCAGGATTATGCGATTGAAATTGAATACACGATCGATTAACGCTTTTCACCCCAACACCAGAATGCAAATCCTCTTTACTCTTCTTTCTTCACATACGATGAATATATGAAGTTCATATATTTTGAACTGCGGTTATAGATACGTATGATGCACGATCCTCGCAGTAGAGAGCGCTATTTATGCAATAGCGAAAATCAGACCTGAAAAAAATCAGGCCTGAACGGGATTCGAACCGCTGACCTCTGCGATACTAGTGCAGCGCTCTACCAATTGAGCTAACAAGCCAACTGGGAGCAGGTCTTCTTTCTTCATTTACCAAAGAGCTGACAGGGAGAATTTGTAACAATCAAGAGCTTGTTAAGTAGGTGTACAGTTCCTTTACTCTCGTAACTTTGATGTTCTATTCAGAGGTGATATTACAAGGAGAAAGTAGGTGCTAGTCACCCTCAGGGATCAAGGGGTTAAAGCACATTGTTCTTTGTGTCGTCACGAGTGTGGGACATGGGAAAAAAAATTCTAGGCGGAATCGAACCTTAAACCGTTTGGCCCTACGGTTCGATGCTGCGCCACTGAACTACAGAGAACTCTATTGTAAGCTAGGCGCTACTAGATTCAGTGACAGGTGACATCACCCGCTTTCAAGTTTGCCCCAAGTTCCGTCACCCTCAAGTGAAGTTCTTTCGCCCCTAAGTATGGTTGTGTTGCCCCAACTTTTGACCCTTATTGAACTTTAATTAAGGTTTGGAACTTTATTTGATTTGTGTTTTATTCAGGCTTTCTGCGGTCCAGCATTTCAACTATTAAGCCAAGAAAAAGGAATGATTGAACATCCCGACACCATCGATGATTTGTTTAGATTATGCGGCAGGTAAGACATGAGTGTAGTGATTTTTTTTCTTTTCCTTTTACTTTACCAAATTCCCTTGATACTTTACCAAATTTTCTAAACCAATATACAAGTAATTATAATTGAATCGCCCCAATCATTCTAAGCAACATGTGGCTGTCTGCGGCTTTTTCCTCTTCTAGGCAGCACGGGAAGCCTAAAAACTCTCCAAAAAAATTACCTTTCAAATCGGCACTCTTACTGCCCAAGGTTTCAACGAACGCTTTTCATTCAACCAATTTATTCATGAGTTTTTTTCGTCATCATATTCCCGCTAATGTAATAGCGTAGCTCCATATAGAACCAACACACAACCCACAATTCCTCGATTTGTTCTCACGAGGTGCTGACGCTCGAAACGTTAGCTCTGCAACCTCTTTATGGTGGCCAATCCACATTAAAAACTCAACTCAGCTGATAGAATTAATTGTCTTGTAATACCACCAACGGCGCTTCACCACAGATTCTTAAGAAACTTACCTCTTTTATGCAAGGAATTGCGTGGCAGCGAGCAGGAAGAATTGTAGTTCAGATCTCGGAAGACGACAGATGATTAGAAAAATTAGACTCTTTAAAGTACTGCTAACGAAATCGTGGCTTTACTTTCAACTCATAACTACAATCATGAAATTTCGGCTGTTTAACTGCAACCTTTAATTCATATCCATCGTCGTAATGCAGATGCCTTCAGAAGTGTCCTCTGGCTTTTTTAAAGTGCGATGTTGCCGTCCCTGCTATCCAGTGCGCAATAGTGGCAAGTACATTAGAACACCGAGACGCAAATTTGTCAGTGATGAAATTCATTAAAAGCCTGGTCAGCTGTGCTACTGAAAAGGTTCGTGTTTACCAAGGCTATTATTTTTATCGGAGATATCCTTTGTCTGTGTTGGTGTCATTTTCCTTTTTACTGCCTGGTCATTTTTATGCAACTTTGTTGGAATACAGAGCAGACAATTTGCAGCAGTGCTCACTTTTTCAGCGGTTTCAATAGATAAGGGTGTAAGATTAAAACAGCAGGCAGGTACTTTTGAAGGTTTGGAGGGTTTCCTGTACCTTGGGAGGTCCGGGCTACCCCTAATTTCGAAGTTCTAGACTGTTGCATTAGTTAGTATTTTCTTGAATTTTAAAGTCTTTTCGAAACTAGGTTAGTTTTCTGTTCCTACTGGGGCGTCATTCCGTTGAAAACAAGTAAAGGTGATTACGAGTATGTCAGCAAATCGAGTAGACAACAAATCGGTACCCGGCTACCATTGAAAACCCAACGGTACATTGTCCTATAGCAAATGGTTTTAACCCTGGAAGTGAGTCCTCGTCGCTTTAGTCACTGTCACATCTGTCACTGTCGCCAAACAAAGTCTTTTGAGTTTATTTCGCAACCAGAAGACCAAGCTACACGATGTACATTGCTGGACTTCTTTATAAGCCGTCCTACCCTGGCAACGTAGAAAGAGGCGATCATAGACTACAATTTTTTTGTCCTGGATGCACGCAACATTACTTGATGGTGATTCAAAACGGTATTTACCCACACAGGAATTATATCTGATCAATACTTCCTTTCTGGTTTCAGTCGCGGAATGATATTCAAGAGAGGCTTTCTTTAGTACAGAAGATCCTTGCAGTTCACGGGCAAAATATAATGACCGGTAAATACTGTTTCATGTTGCTT